ACAGGACGCGACACGACATCGTGCTTTTTAAACTTGATATGAACACGACACGAATACGAATTCAAATTTTGATTTCGTTCCGATTTCGTGTCGTATCATAAATTAAACCCCAAAGTAACCAACCGATTCAACTTAGCTTTTAAAACATTGATTTTAACACGGTGATAAATCAATAAACCACTTTTGAAAGTTCAAAAAAAAAAAGAAAAAAAAATTCCAAACAAAACTCGAAGTGGGCTTGGGTCTAATAATCTCTCGAAGTCTAACCGGTTTCGGTTAACGGCGGTCGGCGGGTTGTATAAAACCCTAAATTCCCAAAACCCTCCTCACCGCACCCTGTTATTCTCTTTCTTCAGATCACTCTTTCGGTCTTTCTTTCAAAGCAAAAATGGTTCGAAGCTTGAAAAACCCAAAGAAAGCTAAGCGGAAGAGCAAGGTATTAATTTCCCATCGTTCTAAATATTTAGTTGTTGCGTTATGTTTTGTCTTTCATTTGTCAGATAGTTCATGTATTTGATTTTTGATGGAAAGAAAAGGCTATTCGACTCCGTTTGTCGTTAATAAAAATGAGTTTTGAATATGTGATTCTGTAATCAGGGTTCAAAGAAAGCAGATGAGTCATCCTCATCAAACGCAATACCTTCAATGCCAGCGAAGGTGTGGCAACCAGGTGTTGATGCTTTAGAGGAAGGCGAAGAGCTTCAATGTGATCCTTCAGCTTATAATTCTCTTCATGCCTTCCACATTGGCTGGCCCTGCTTAAGGTATCCTACAAAACCAACTTTATTAATTCTCTTCATGTTCTTAATTGTTCTTCTCTTCTCACTTTTTTTGTTAAATATTTGATCTCTGTACATTGTGTTGTAGCTTTGACGTGGTGCGTGATTCACTGGGATTAGTCCGGACAGAATTTCCACACACTATTTATTGCGTCACTGGAACTCAGGTAAGCTTAATTCTGTTAGCACTTAACATTCTTGGTTAGCTTCATTACGTGTAGGAGAAGATGATGGAATCTTTATTCTCATAGGCAAACAATGCTCCAAATTCAATTGGAATATTTAAAATATCAAACATTTCTGGGAAAAGACGTGAACTAGTACCAACAAAAACATCCAATGCTGACACCGATATGGACAGTGATAGTAGTGACAGTGATGAAGATGAAATGGAGAACGAAGGACCAAAAGCTCCAGTCTTTCAGGTAACACATAGCCATTGATTTTTCAAACTTTCATCACTACAATATTCTTTTAATCTTCATACATTTCTATCTTCAGGTGCGCAAAGTGTTCCATGAAGGTTGTGTGAATAGAATTCGTGCAATGACACAAAAACCCCATATATGTGCTACTTGGGGAGATACCGGTCATGTGCAGGTATAATAGTAACAGTAATAGTAATAGTAGCGGTATCAGTAACAGTAATAGTTTCTTGATGTTGTTGATGTAGATATGGGATTTTAGCTCTCATTTAAATGCTTTAGCAGAAGCTGAAACAAATGTTAGTAAGGATGCTTCCACAGTATCTACTCAAACTCCTTTAGTAAAGTTTACGGGTCACAAGGATGAAGGCTATGCAATTGATTGGAGTCCTCTTGTTCCTGGAAGACTTGTTTCAGGTATGAAGTATGAAGTGAGAAGTAGATGTTATTTATGTGATATAAAAAGATCATATGCTCTAATATGGATTCTGTTTGATGCCTTGTTTAATAAATTTATCTTTTGAAAGGTGACTGCAAGAATTGCATCCACTTATGGGAGCCAGCATCTGACTCAACGTGGAATGTTGATAGTAAACCATTTGCTGGACACACTGGTAGCGTTGAAGATTTGCAGGTAATTACCTTTTTACCCATTATTTAAGGGTAATTACGTAAAAAAAAATGTGTTTTTTTATAAAACTTTTCTTGATGCAGTGGAGCCCAACAGAACCATATGTGTTTGCCTCGAGTTCTGTGGATAAAACAATAGCAATATGGGATACCCGTTTAGGGAAATCACCAGCAACTTCTTTTAAAGCACATAACACAGATGTCAATGTTATTTCATGGAACAGGTTTTTTTTTTTTTTTTTTTTTACCATTGTGTTTAATTTTATTTTTATGATTAGGGTTTTACTAATTTGTTGATTTTTAATTAGGTTGGCTAGTTGTATGTTGGCATCTGGTAGTGATGATGGGACATTTTCTATTCGTGATCTTAGATTGCTCAAGGTATGTTTTTTTTTTTTACAAAAAAAAGTTTTTTATTGTATAAAAACTATGGAAAATAACATTTTTTTTGTTTATTTTAGGAAGGGGATTCTGTAGTGGCACATTTTGAGTACCACAAACATCCGATTACATCCATTGAATGGAGTCCACATGAAGCTTCTACACTGGCAGTATCATCATCCGATAATCAACTCACGTAAGAGTTTTTCATTTAAAAAAAAATCATCTTTAACAACTTTTACAAAATCACCCCCTTATCTTTGGTCAAACTGTCAGAATATGGGACCTCTCTTTAGAACGAGATGAAGAAGAGGAAGCAGAATTTAAAGCCAAAACACAAGAGGAAGTACATGCGCCTACAGATTTGCCTCCACAACTTCTTTTTGTTCATCAGGTTACTTGCAATTTTGAATGTTGATTTGTTGTTTGTGATGAGAAAATATTTTGACTTTTGTTGACTTTTTTGTTTTGGTGAACAGGGTCAGAAAGACTTGAAAGAACTTCATTGGCATACACAGATTCCAGGAATGTTGATTTCTACAGCTGCTGATGGTTTTAATATATTGATGCCTTCAAATATTGAAACTAATCTTCCTCCTGCTAATGCCAATGCTAATGCTTGAAAACGAAGAAGGTTTTCAGTTATGGAGAAAATTCAGGCAACTTTAAATGACCCAAAAGGGGTAAATTTTTGCATGGTTTACTGTTGGTGTTATATTTAAAGAGAGAATCACATGATACATTGTAGTTTGTATGAAGTGTTTTGGAATTTTGAGTTATGTGAAAATGGGGTTGAATGGTAATATTCTTATGCAAGCAGTCTTTTTTTGGTGATACTTGAGATTTTTGCTTACATTTTATAGCATTGCGCTTTCATTTTTTTTTTCTTTGTAAGGATATTATAATTTGACAAGCCTACCCAATATATAGCAGTGGAAAGTGGTTTGTATGTGGATGATATTGCTATAACTGGTAGACTTTTCAAGATATATGTTGTAATAGGAAGATATATAAAATGAATATTTTTTTTGACCACTTTAGGACGATTTAGTTCATGAGAAAATATGGGTTTACATTTGGATAAATCTTAGATGTATTTAAGAAGCCAAAAATGTACATTCATCAGTGCTATAAGTTTTCATGAGAAATTTAATCTGTTACGAAGGAAGGTGTCAAGTCAAAGTGTCAAACTGCAAACATAAAACAAAATTGAGGATATTAAACTTATTTCAAAGCACACGTCAAAGATCACAAGTTTGGAATGTGGAATCAACTCGTGTATTTGCATTTCGCAACTAATCATAGTTTAGATCATAAACTTCACATTGATTAATCTTAACTTCAAATTCGTAGTGTACTTGTGTATGTTCAAGCAATATGTCAAATATTTTGCATATTACAAGAATACAACTTGGAAAAAGGTTACGTGAGATTGATTTAAAAATGAGAAGCATTTGTTTTGATCAAAAAAATTATACAAGTAGAGAAGAATATAAGATGAATTTTAAGAAGAAGATACGTCTATAGGGAATTTGATTATGTGGAGAAATAAAATATGGATTTGAAAAAGAAAAACAGTATTAGAAAAAAAGAAAAACAACATATTCATTCATACATGTTATACACATGGATTTTTTTTTTAAGAAAGAAAATCAATGGAATGCATACATAATTTAGAACGACAAAGAAAGCCAATGATTTAGAGAGGGAGATTACCATTGATTTTATCTACATGTGAATTATCCACATAAACAAGTGATGTGACTTTAAAATTAAAAACCAATCATATTTCATAGGCTCAACAATCACATAATGGTTTCAGGTTAACTGGTTGCATTATTTAGACATATTTTAACAGATTGTTGGCTTGTTGCATATTTTATACAAAAAACAACATTGTTACATACATTGGGAAAAATATGAAACATTTTTGCATAATAAGTAATACAAGATAAAGTTTAGTGACCAAATGAACACAAATTCAATAGTTTAGTGCTTAATTTCGACATTTGGTGAAAAATTAGATCTGCATCAATGTTCGGAAGTGTCTTGCATTTTGAACACCCAATTGACATCAAAGTCTGACTTTTGACTAATCACACTTCCAAAATTAACATTTATGATTCATCCAAGGTTGTCAAGATCGGGATCCTACATAGGATCGTTTTTGGGTTTGCAAGATCGGTATCGGGATCCTAAGATCCTACAAAATGAAACATACTTTTAATTTATAATTTGAATACATGAAAAATATTTTAAACATTCAATTTTTTGTTCAAAAGTTATAAAAACTTTAAAATATTAGTAATAAGTCACAACATAAAATGATAAACGATAACTTGGTAAACGGGTAAAAGACATAAAATGGTAAAATGATTTCATTTGCAAAAAAAAAAAAAAAAAAAAAAAAATCAAGGAAAGGTAGGATCGGATCGGATCCCGATCCTACGATCCTACCTGCGATCCTACCCCAAATACGATCCGTTTACGATCCGGATCGTTTTTCATACCTAGGATCGTAGGATCGTAAGATCCTACGATCAAGATCGAGATTTTGACAACCATGGATTCATCATTACTCACGTCCTAGAAAAGCTACACAAAGTAATTCATTCTTCACACTCCACTTTAATTATACATCTATGCTATTAAAGTCCACATATGTTGTTTAATTATATCAATGTTATATATACATGTTAAAAAATTATGACCCTTTACGATCAATGTAACATGCAATGTATGAAAAAAAAAATCTAAATCATGATAAACAAAGAACAAAAAAAAAATGGTGAAGGTTGAATTAAGTAGTAAACTATTTTATTTGTGGTATTTAGTAACTAGTTACTAAACTAAATTGTAAAATGTTAGTAAACTTATTGTTTTTTATTCAAAGTGGGTTTTATGAGAGGTGATAACATGATTCAATAACCACTTTGAATCAAAAATAAAAATTCCAATGACCTTCTGGTGCTTAATTTGAAAAGATCAAATCTCAACTCTCAATTTTATGCGTAATAGTTTAATGCATAGTTTCGACATAACCATTAATTAAATTGAAACGATCGAATCAACTCACAGTGACCCGACTAGGGCTGAACGTTAATCGGTTTAAACTTGAAAAAAAAAATCTTGAACTGACAGTTTTGGGTAAACTAAGTATGATTCTGTTTTCGACCATTTATTACTATTATTTTTTTAAAGGGCTACTAATAGTTAGTGAATGTTTGAGATTCATTTTTAATCAACTTTTTGATTTTTAATTTTTTGAAAAAGTTAAAAATTACTAAAAGTTATTTGGTAAATTGAAAAGTTCTTTTCAAATCAACATTTAGCTATTAAGAAAAAATTAGCTGGACAAAAGATAGAAATTCCTATCTTTTTGTGACTTTTGGCTTTTATCATTTAAAAACCTTAAAAAGCAAACCAAACACATTTTAAAAATATTCTTTTAGAAAAAGTTTTTTTACAAAAAATCTGTTTATAAAAAAGACTTCAAGTTTAAAAAGTAATCTCAAATGCACCCTTAGTATTAAACATTTAAACCACCCATTCCTGAACCCTTATTTGAGAATTGACTATTAGAGTTAATTATATTATTCGTTCCCAATTTCCGTTCTCTATTTCCAAATCGACGAACTGGAAGCGGCTTCCCCTTTTGTTCCCTACTCCTTTGGCTGGATTCGGTCGTCGACACTTCTTAATCCACATCGGCGCCTCACACAACCACCAAACCAATGTTTGTTTTTCAATTATTGTTTTTTTTACAAATTAAAACCTTACAGGTCCTTACTTCTTTCATTCTTTGTACATAAACTCTGTAATTGTTAGCCTTGTTGTTGTTTTGCTGATGTTTTTTGTACATATTAACGTGTTTGAGAATTGACACCCGAAGTCATAAATAAAAATTAGTCTTACTTACCTGTTTAAGACTAAAGACCTGGAGTAAGAAGTTTAGATGGACGAGAGATTTTTGGGTAGGAGTAACAAATCACAGTGTGATATTACAATTTTTCTCTTTCTGTTATTTGTCTTTCTGGCGGCTAAATCGAAACCGATTAACCCGCTAACCCGAAAACCGACGTTAATACGGTTATTAGATGGTTTGGATGATAACCCGAAAAACCGCCCGATGATGACCCTTAGACCCGACCCGAACATCTAAAACCTATTATTGCTATTTGCAGGAATCAACTGTTGAGCGGCTTTTCTATTGGGGAATCAAACAGCCTCGCTTCTACGCTTTCCTCCTCAGTGATTTGAGCGCAAGCGTTGTCAAAAGCAGAAAATTGCACCAATTTCAATTTCACGAAGGTTAGTTTCTTTTCTTTCTTTGTGATTTTCTACGATGCAGAGTAAAACTAGGTTTAATTGTTGGATGCTGAGTTGAAACCGAACTCTTAAACCCCTTCAGGGTTTTTCATCTGCAGATTTTCTTCAAGATACTCGAAGATGCAATTGACTCTTGAATTCGGGTAATTCCATCAGCCCTCTTTCGTACACAATATTCATAAAATTTTATACTACATACTTAGTACAGTATTTCGTTGATCATGTTATGTTTGTGATCGTTCTGGAGTATAAACCTTTGATACCTGATTTGAAACTTGAAATATTCCATAGTTTCATACACTTGATAGTTGATAGTTAGAATAACTTTGACACTTGAAATCACTTAATTGCATCTTTGAGTTTGCACAAACCAAACCAAAACACTGGACCTTTATCTGTAAACCAGAACTCAACCATTCAGCTTGATGAACATCTCTGTATTTTAATATTTTTGTTCTTAAATCCAGTGGAGGACTAGAACTTCTTTGTGACTCCGTGAAGATCCATAGCGTTGATGTTGACCTACCAGCTGAAGAAAAGAAGGTCCAAAACAATAAACTTTTCAAATACAATTACACAAATCTTCACATTTATGATTGTATTAGATCTATAATCGTTCTTACTTGTGTTTCTTAGTTAACCATGAAGCACTTGCTTGCTTGGGTTCGCTCCAATTTAATCAAGGAAAGACCTGAAATGTTTATGAAGGGAGACACTGTGTAAGTTCAAACAATTTTTTTTTTGGGTCCAAAAATTGAACATTTTTACAATTTGATTATTTCTTGTGTGCAGGCGACCTGGAGTTCTTGTTCTTGTGAATGACTGTGATTGGGAATTGAGTGGCCAACTTGATACAACCTTGGAAAATAAGGATGTTGTAGTGTTCATCTCTACTTTGCATGGGGGATAGTTGAAATGTTTCAATATGTTTATTTTTTGCGACAATGAATGTTATAAAGTATTTATCAATGTAGTAAACTGAGTTTTGATTAAAATCAAAGTTGTAACCTTCACTTGTTATGATGTCGCTGTGTTTAAGAAGTTGTAAACTGAGTTTTGATTGTTTATGCTAATGAACAATGGTTATGAAGATCTTACTACAAAGTGTATTTTTGGCAACCTACTTTTGATAAAAACTGGGTTTTATGGTTGAATGTGACTTTTCGAAGTACAATTATTACTATTGTTTTGCTTATGATATTCATAACAAAATTGATTGTAGAAGTATTAAAGTACAATTACATATATAGCTTTATTACTATTTTAAATGCAAAACTGAAAAACTGATTAACCAGAATTTAGAAAAAAGAAAAAAAATACAAACTGATTAACTAAAATTTAGAAAAAAGGAAAAAATACTTAGAAAAAAGAAAAAAAAATACAAACTGGTTAACCAAAATTTAGAAAAAAGAAAAAAAATACAAACTGATTAACCAAAATTTAGAAAAAAGGAAAAAATACAAACTGATTAACCAAAATTTAGGAAAAAGAAAAAAAATACAAACTGATTAACCAAAATTTAGGAAAAAGAAAAAAAATACAAACTGATTAACCAAAATTTAGGAAAAAGAAAAAAAAATACAAACTGATTAACCAAAATTTAGAAAAAAGAAAAAAAATACAAACTGATTAACCAAAATTTAGGAAAAAGAAAAAAAAATACAAACTGATTAACCAAAATTTAGGAAAAAAAAAAAAAAATACAAACTGATTAACCAAAATTTAGGAAAAAGAACAAAAAATGGAATGTTGACAGTGGGATTTGAACCCACGCCCTTTCGGACCAGAACCTTAATCTGGCGCCTTAGACCAACTCGGCCATATCAACTTTGGTGATATTCTCTTCATTCTTTCAATTATATATAATTTTATTATTATTTTGTTTTTTTTCTTCTTATTTTGGTGTTTCAGTTGGATGAACATATTTTATAAATGCTAAAATCTTGGTTATGTTGTATAATCCTTAGGAAAATTGTAGTCAAATTTGTGAATATGTCCAAATAAAAACTAATCAAAGTACTTTCTTTTTCATTTTATTATTTGAATGATTGTATGTTTATACCAAAGATGATTCACAAAGTTGGTGACAATTTATTATCCACATTCCTGTAGTTTCAAGGGAGTGAAGATGATTTGGCCACGTAAAGATGTATAATCCACTATACAATCGATTGGAGCAACCTTCCTACATGATTTCCAAAAGTTGAATTCAACCAAGAAAAATCCCAATTTGTATTCTGATTTCCTAGTTTGACCATACTTAAATATATAACATAAATAGCTGAAATGGCTAATCGTTTTCCAATCATTCTACACAACAGGCTCCCCATTTTGGCGGGTGTTCATATCAATGCTTCAGTTTCTAGTTTTAGTATCAATAGTTGCGGTCAATTTTCTAAAACACTGAAGAGGAGTAAGAATTTAAGCAGCTACAGAGTGCCTCGGCGACTGGTGTTCGGGATTGGAGTTTCATTTTGGGCTCAGTTCATGAGCATGGCTGGCAATTCTGGCACCAATTCCATCATCGCATCAGCCAGGACAAAAGGTGCTGTTGAAAAGGTTCGCTTTGGGTTTTAGGGTTTGTCTTCTCATTTGGGGTTTTCGGTGATTTGATGAATACACCGTGAATTAAGATAAGGTTGGAGTGATTTGATAAATAATCATATGTAATTTGCTTCCTTGTTCATAATTACAGATACTGGAGAACGTAGAATGGCCCGAACAATTTCCTTTCAAGGAAGAAGATTTCCAGCGTTTCGACGAGTACGACCTGTAAAACTAATCATGATTGCATTTCATTACCTAACAATATTGTTGAGCTCCTCGAAACATTTCATTACACTCAACCCGACTTTGTTTGGAACTCCTAAGAACTTAATCGTTTCAATTTGAATTAGGCGTTTGGTGTTTTTGCAGATCATCGGATTTAATTTTCTATGAAGCTCCACGTTTTGTAACCCACATCGATGATCCAGCCATTGCAGCTCTTACCAAGTATTACAAAGAAGCTTTTCCACCAAGTAACACTCCAGGGGTAGCTCTTCTTGACATGTGTAGTAGTTGGGTGAGTCATTTTCCTGCAGGCTATAAGCAAGAACGAATTGCAGGTATGGGTCTTAATGAAGACGAGCTCAAAGCCAATAAAGTAAGAATCAAAATTATACATATTTTTTTTGCATTTTTTAAAATTCTTTTCCTTATCATCTCCCATTGTAGGTTCTCACTGAATATGTGGTGCAAGATCTAAACACGAACCCTAAGCTTCCATTTGAAGATAATTCCTTTGATGTTATCACAAACGTGGTGCGTATCAATCACAATTAATTTGGGCAACTAACTTTGACATAGGATTTGACTAATTTGTCTTGGATTAATGTAGGTTAGTGTTGATTATTTGACAAAACCGATTGAAGTGTTCAAGGAGATGAGTCGGGTCCTTAAGCCAGGTGGCAAGGCTATAATGAGGTGATACAATGATACTGGTGTTTGGATTTTAATGAATGAATTCTTTAGGACAAGAAAGTCAATGATATGAGTATATGACTTACAGAAGATTATGAATCTTGGAAATGAACAGTTTTTCAAATCGGTGTTTTTGGACAAAGGCGATATCGATATGGACATCAACTGGTGATGCGGATCATGTTATGATAGTTGGAGCATATTTTCACTATGCGGGAGGATTTGAACCACCCCAGGTGAGTACTATGAGCACTAGATGTAATTTTTACAAAAAAAACGTAATTTTGACTTTGAAAGTTAAACAAACCAAAATTTGACTTTAGATTCGATAAGAAATTCGTTATAACAATCCCTGCAGGCTGTAGATATATCTCCGAATCCTGGGCGTTCTGACCCGATGTACATTGTCCACTCCAGAAAGTTGGCAACAGCATGAAAAGTGAAAACTAGGTTGGTATGGATATCTATGATGTCGAAATAAATAAGAAATTTTATCGTTCAAAATTTTGTTAGGATATGGTGTAGAATTCAGAAATAACTAAAAATCCATGATAATATAGCATCTGTATGTACTTGTTTAGTGAGAGAATGAGTGTGTGTAATACTATCATAATTACTCAAGTTAAAAAGAAAGCAATCCTCGTATTGTATTAATGTATTATTTGTTAAGAGAGACGGGTGTGGGCAACGGGGGTTCCCGTTATTAGTGACATGGCACCTAATAAAGGCGCCATAACGGGAGGAACACCGCCCCCTAGCCGTTATTAGGTGTTATAGTATAACGCGTTATGGCCACAACGGGAGGTAACGTACGTGATTTCTTGTGTTTTTTGCTTCAACGACTATAATTTTGACCGTTTGAAACAAACGGTAACATAAAAAAAAAAATCAAGTTTTATATATACTATCACATAACCTATATTATTTTTACCTACAAAACACATACTTCTCTAGATATTTCTTTCAATATTTCAAAACTAAAATATAGATCAATTTGATCCGGCCCATCCGTACCACGATGATAACGACGAAGACGATTTGTTTGTGAGTATGATGTACCGGTATTATACAGACAACCTACTACAGCCAGATCCTACTCCACTACTCACACGACGTGCGGCGTTAAATAGAGATCGTGAGGAAGGGCATAGACGGCTAGTTAACGATTACTTTGTGGAAAATTGTGTCTACCAGCCAAGCGATTTCAAAAGAAGATTTCGTTTGTGAAAAAATGTCTTTGAAATGATAGCCAACGCTATGGAAGCAAGGTATCGTTTGATTCAACTTTTATAATTTACAAAATGTCACTTTCAGATAAAATAAATACAATTTTTACATGTTTAATATTTATTTAGGTATCGTTTGTTTCAACTTTTATAATTTATAAAATGTCACTTTTAGATAAAATAAATACAATTTTTACATGTTTAATATTTATTTAGGTATGAATTTTTCCAAATGAGATATGATGCTAGAGGCAAACGAGGCTTCACAAGGTTGCAAAAATGTGTTGCTGCAATTAAACTTATGGCAATGGGGGAGTCGCCCGATTCTGTCGACGATTATATGAGAATGTCTGAGAGGACCGCACGAGACAATTTGTATTTATTGGCAAGAGGTGTTGTCGAAACCTTCGGTGACCAATACTTGCGCAAACCTTCGTTGCATGATATGCAACAACGATATGCGGCGCATGAAGAAAGACATGGTTTTCCGGGTATGCTTGGGAGCATTGACTGCACACACTGGAAATGGAGAATTGCCCCGTTGCGTGGAAAGGCCAGTATTCGAGCGGTCATCATGGAGCGCCTTCGTTGGTATTACAGGCTGTTGCTTCACAAGATTTATGGATTTGACATGCTTTTTTTTGGGGTTGCGGGTTCTAACAACGACGTCAACGTTCTCGATCAATCACCAATATTTGACGATCTTTTGTCAGGAAAAGCCCGGATGCTCCTTTCACAGTGAATGGAAATGAATATAAGTTTGGGTATTACCTTACAGACGGAATATATCCACAATATTCCACGTTTGTGAATGCGTTTTGACACCCAATAGATACAAGGGACAAATATTTCAAGAGACGACAAGAAGGAGCACGTAAGGACGTTGAACGTGCTTTTGGGGTTTTGAAATCAAAATGACACATAGTTGAACATGCGGCGAGACCTTATGAGTTAGATACTCTACGATATATCATGTATGCATGTATCATAATGCATAACATGGTTGTCGAAGATAAAGGACACAATATTGCAACGTATTCGCCTACGGAGCCAAGACATGTGCAATTTCAACCAGGGACATTAGAATATTTACATAGAGTGGTTGATATTCAAGATCAGCGAAAACACAAGCAACTCCGTGAAGACTTGGCGGATTACATCTATGTTGGTCACGAAGATGAACATGAATAGTTTTAGGCCAAAAAATGTAGGTTTTATCATCTTCTTTTTTTTTTTTTTTTTTTTTTTTTTTTTTTTTTGATTTTTAGGTTTTTAAATGTTTTTGTGTTTTGTTGTAATTTTTTTAATGTTGTTTTTAATTTAAGTTTTATTAAAATTTTATTTTTACTTTTCAAATATAAATAAATAAAAAAAACAAATTCGAAATATAGAAAAAACAACATAAAAAAAAAATTAAAAAAAAAATAGAAAATAATTGGTGTTATCACATGTTATTAGATGTTGTCCATTTCCACCTTGGGTGTTATAACACCCATGTATGAGTAGGATGCTGACATGACACCTTTTGGGTGTGGTAACATGTAATAACATGTTGCACACACCTAGTAGTCTAATTGATGTTAGACAAGAATAAGCTGGATTATAAGTCCATAGAATGTCATGCCACACCCACCATATTATTGTAGTGTCACGTCATCACCAAATCATTTTCCTTCTTACTCCACAAAACTGGTGGGTGTCATATCACATTTTATTTTAATATTATTTTTTTTAAGTGAATAAAATATAATTTAATAAAATATAATTATATAAAATCAATAAAAAGAAAATATTTGATTAATTAAAAAAAATACAAACTACATTAAAAACATAAATAAAAAACGTACTCAAAACATTGGAAAAAAAATGAGCTAGTCACATCATTAAAATCTTCGCCCGAATCTCCTTCAAACATTTCCGACTCGTCATTATTGGTAGCGTTGAACAACTCGTCTTCATCAAAATCGTCGCCATGTACACCTGCGTACCAATACTAACTCCTACATTTGGTAAAATTCTCATTTTACATTGTAGTGACAAATCGCTTTCCACTCATCTTCTATAATCATATTATGTAATATAATACATGCATACAACTTCTACTTTCCCTCCAAATCGTTTTCCCCTCATCTAAGCATTTGATTGCTGTAAGCAGTGCAATTCACGACTGTTTTCATCAATTAAGTAATTATTTAACCTTTGAAAATAATTATTACAACTTCTACTTTCCCTCTAAATCTGACAAGGCAGGAAAGCTGCTTGCTGAAGTGTTGATCAAGGGATTTCAAGGCAACATGTTAGGTTACTCAATTACAAAAATTAAATATGGAATAAAAGGTTAAAAAATTGTAAATATTGGTGGTTATAAATTTCAGGCATCTGAAAGCTAATAGGTTTCTCACTTGGAGCACATACAATCTTCAAATGTCTTCAATATCTTAGCAGAAACTAGACACATAAATTCCTAATTCCATGGAATTAGGTTTGGTGTAGCGGATTCTGATAGCTTGACAAATATTATCATTTTGCTAAAACCGGATTTTGATGATTTTTTTTAATTTAATTGTCATCTTGTTTGGTGGTTCTAGCAAGTTGATGATTTTATATGTCAAGTGGCTTATTCATAAGGCTTTGTTTATATGCTGATTTTATAGTTCTTTTTAGGGTTTAATATAAGATATAGCAATGTACTTCTATTGATTTGTTTGTTTTAGCATTTTACTTTCATATCTTCCTATTACATGTTTATAGCATTGCTATTTGAATAGTTTATCGAATTATAGCAATGCTGTCAAAATACAATGTAATTTGAACTTCAAATGGATAGATTTTCAAAGTAGAGTGCCATAATAAGAAAAAAAACTTAAAGAAGAATGCTATAATTGTGTAAATTTGTCAACATAATGAAAGTAAACTTATTCGAACATGCCCTAATGGCGCGGGGTTGTTTTTCCTAGTTAATATTATTTAACAAATGTGAATAAATAAGTATGGAAGTATTGTATAGTATTGTGAGAACGATTCTAAAGAGAATAACAACTTTGATACCTTGAATTAATCTGGAATGTCAAATTGAAAAAATAAAAAAACCAAATCTAAACAAATTCATTAATTACTTTCCAAAACATAGCAAAAAATAAATAAATAAATAAATAAAAATCAATCTAGCACATAAATCGTAGATGGGCATAATGGGCTGTGATTTCATGAAAATATATAATAAAAAAACCACGAAATCTCACATGACATTTTGACATCTACAATTTTATCATGAGTATTTTTTTTTCAAACCTTAAATACCTTGGGTGTATCATCCTAATTTTTATATGGTCGAAAGCTATATTAGTTAAAAAATTCACGATATTTAATAATGGGGTAAATTACACGGATGGTCCCTGTGGTTTGGGGAAACTTGCACGCTTAGTCCCTGAGCAAAATTTTTAACTCGGACGATCCCTAATATTAAAATTTTTAACCCGCCTGGTCCTTGCTACATCTGAAATGATTGTATTGCCCTTATTTATTTATTTTTCTGATTTATTATATATAAAACAAATATAAAAATTAAAATTAAAAAAAAATCCTAAACCGCCTCATCTCTGCTTCTCCCCCTCTCCGATTAGAGCTCTCCCGCCACTATGCCACTGTCTGTTTCCTTCCTTCACATATGCAGATGAAATCAATTAGCCATGGTACAAATCTAGAAAAAAAAGACGCATAGAAAATCTAGAAAAAGCCCAAAGAAATCAATTCAAAACCCTAGAAATCCCCAAATAAAACACAAATCCCCCCGCCACTATGCCACTATCAGTAATTCTTCTTCATCCCCTACCATAAATATGAAGAACGCCACGCACCACCATCACGGGGTCGACCGTGAACATAAGGAAGTAAGAAGAATCGATTTGTGAAATCCGTCTGGATATAAGGATATCGATTGAAGGTGGAGGTGGAGGACCGAGTGAAACAGAAACCATCCTAAAAAACATATGAATGCTTCGAATTGTTTGGCTTTAAAACGCATATGGCTTTTGATTTGGTTTCGAAAAACACAGGTGAATTTTGATTTGTTGCTGCTTTTGTCTTTAAATGTTTTGCTTCGTTTAATGTCCGGGTTTGATGTGGATTATGTTGGATTAATGTCTCACTCCATAACTATTTTGGTATGTACTTGACCTGATTGTGAGCATGGTCCTTTTGGGTTGCCTTCACATTGGTGACTAGACAGGATGACTGTTGAGGAGAGATGCTGGTTTATTGTTAAGAATAATAAATTGGGGTATAAATATGATTTGTTAATATATTATATGAATTATATATTAATTTGGAATCATATTATTAATTAGTATTTAATCAGAAATTAATTAGGAATTAATTTTGGGATTAAAGGAATTAATTAAAAGTACAGG